GTGGTGCTGAGCTGCTGGCTGGGGCTAAACCACGACAAGGTGCTTCTCCCTAATTTTGCAACCTTGCATATCTTGGGACATTCATGGTTAGAAGACATTAAGCAGTGGGAATATATATCCAAATTAGGTAATGGATGGAATATTAAAATGCTGCAGTGAAGGATCCCCGAATGACCACTTGTTCACTATTGGGGAATCAATGCAAAGTACAGGTTTTCAAAGAGAAAATATTGGCCTTAGGTGCTTCAGGAGCAGAAGAATCATCCAGCACGACTTACAGCAGAGGTTAGAAGACACTTATTTTGTAACAGGCTGCTGATCAAACACCATTCCAAACTGTGCAAAGTTTCTTCACAGGCACAATGCAAAGTGAAAGGAAGGAATGAGCTACTTCCTCCTTGTGCACCTCACACAGGAACTGGATGTGTGAGCAGAAGTGAGAGGGTTTGTGTATCCTTATGCATTATCCAGAGCTGTTGGGAATTTATGCAGCACTGCCTAAATTAATATTTTTTGTTCCTAGTCAGAACAAATGGTCAAAAGAACTCATTAAATAGAAATTAAAAAGAAACACATTGCAAGTATTGAAACATACGGTTCAATAACTCTAGAACATTTTTGCACTCGTTGAAATACCAAATTCGAAGAAGGCAAAATGTATTATTTTGATAGTGTTAACATAGAATGTAATATAAACACAACTAGCATTAACACAGTATTGAATAATTTTAAGGAAATTTTAATAAATACAAAATGAAAATGATAAAGTTGAAGCAAGGCATTTTTGCCTTATAGAAGAAAAAGTTTCAGAAATATTGAACTTCAAACATGAAAGCTGAAAAGCTCTACTTAAAAGTTTCTTCTATAGGGGACTGGCATATTACCCCCAAAACTTTTCAGTCTCAGTGAAACTGCATTTCTTATGGGAGTTGTTCCAGAAGAACTCTTTTGCCAGTTGTACCTCTCATCTCTTCCACCAGGATGGAAAGAAACAGGCAGAGAAGCGCAGAAGCCCCAGGGCACATCAGCTGGCTCGACTCCCTGAGGCTTTGGGATGCAGAGCATCCCCAACAGCTCCTGCTGCTTATAAAAGTGACCCTCCACTCATAGCATGACTCCATCAGGGCTCTAGGCTACAATTAAGCCTGAGGGAGTGAATTAAGGGTCTGGGGACAGATAGCTGACAGAAAAAGGTGAGAGCTCTTTTAAATCGGGCACCAACAGTTTTAAGCAAATTGGAGAGGGTCTGGGAGGTGGCAGAAAGAAGGAGTAGAGCTCTAGGAAACAACACTTATCAGGGGGATTTGGAGCGGTTTGGTTTGGTTTAACTGGAAAAGAGAAAGGCTGAATCATAATGTAGTGCAAATATGTAAAATTAGCAGGAGAGACTGGTAATCTGTTGTTTGTGTCCACTGAGGGTTAAACAAGAAGATAGCTAATTAGCAGCTAGGGTTTGGGTTAATTATTAGAAAGTAGTCTTTCCAAACCACTAGGTAAGCAGGTAGAGCAGCTCTCTCCAAAGCTTGTTTAAGCAAGGTTGTGAAATTTCTTTCACAAGGAGCTTTATTAACAGCCTAGACAAATATCCATCAGGCAGTGGTCTGCGTACATTTGTTCCTGCCACAGGGAAGCGAGCCAGGCTAGGTCTTTGTGGTCCCTCCCAGCTGTACTTTCCTTTGATGCTTTGGGATGTGTTTCAGTGCTGGCTTTGGTTTTCCCAAGAGCCAGAGTTTCTGAATGCTGACAAAAGCAGCTTCTTGGAGGAGGCTGGTGAGAGAAAACTGAAATGAAAAAGGGCTTAAATAACCATTAAAAAAAAGTACTCAGTTAGCTCTCCCCTCCCAAACTAAGGAAGCAAAAAGATATGTAACCTCTGCTACAGGACTTCTTGATCATTTTGGTTTGTATTGTACTGTTTGTCTGGGTTTGGCCTATTCAGGAGCACAACCTGTTTTCTCCTTTATAAATGGGATAGCTTTGGATCCCTGATGGAAATAGTTCCTCATCGTTGTTTATTTTTGTAATGACTGGATGAAAGTTTGTTTTTTTGGCATATCGCTCATGCAAAGGGCCCAGAATCTCCAGTGCAGGATGGGGCAGGCTGCAGCCATAGGCATCCTCTGTCAGCAATTTCCTCAGTTACACATTGCAATCTTGTTTTGCCACTTATAAACCTTCCCCTTCTCCCTGAGAACTAATATCCTTCCTTGAGAAATAAGCTCGAGGTAAAGACTAGTGGCAGAACAAATGGCAAGCAGAGCTGGGCTGCTACAGAGGCAGGGAAAGCCACTGAGTGCCAGAAGCCTTTAATTTCAATAGAGCAAAATATATTACTTGGGCAGTGTCAAAGTATAAAACATTCTGGATTATAATCTGTTTGAGGTTATATTCCATGCTTTGTGCAGGGAGAATGAATTTGTGTACAGCTGCTTTTACGCTGGGGCAGATTCTTAGAGATCAGCAGTGGTAGGGGACAGGTACCCTTAGGGAAAAGGAGGGTCAGACCTGCCTCTTCTTGTGTGTTGGCAAATATCACACACACTGCAAGGTATGAAAAGGAAAAGAATAAGGGAGATAATTCTGATTGTCTGTGTCCATGTCTTTTTTCAATAGACGGTTAAAAGGCAGGATGGCAGCAAACCACTGCTCAAAGGAAAGGTTGCTCCCCAATATTTGGGGGAGAGAGTAAACTCTACAGTGTTCATTGCCTGGAGTTGCCAGTCACTTTTGGACAGTGGATTTAATTCTTTAAAACTTCTGATCCTTTCAAATCTGTTCAAATTCTGAGGAAGTCCCAAATATTTGACAAGCAAGGTATGCAGAATCAGGGCCTGAAGAGAAGCAATATTGCATATTCTCATAGGGGAACAGAGAAAGCAAGTGAATGATCTTTACTTCAAAAGAAAATCCGCTCAAATCCACACAAAGCAAAATCTGAAGAGCTGATTTCAGCAATCATCTTTTCTTTGGAAATCTTTTGTACTTATGCCCACATTACTCAAAACCTAATAAATTTTGAGTTTGGTTGATTTCACTGAAATGTTTTGCGTTCCGTCTCATGCGTAAAGTGTCTTTTTGATAACATTGAAGACCATGTTTCGTTGCAGGGGCACTGACTTTGAGATTAAAATCTGAACACATTCACTTACAAGCCATGATTACATCCAGCTGAAATTCAGGTCCTGACACTCATAATATTATACAAATTAGGATCATGAAGAATATTATGACCTTGAAGCTATAAAAGGCTGCAAATTTGCAGACATACTGTTTAAAATGCTTTGAGCAAACCTAGGTCTAATACTTATAATTCAATACAGGAAATAGTGGATGATGATCATTAGAAATAAACTGAGAAGATGAGTAGTAACGTAGCATGTCATAAAGAGTGTAGGTCAATTTAGCTTCAGTTAGGCTAAACAGACCTTACAAGATAAGAAAATGTTGGGGGTGCAAGACAAATGTGTAGGCAAAAGCTTACAGTTCCAGTACAACTAGCCAATAGATGTCATCTTTGTCTTATAAATATTAAAGTAGATCACATGATCATGTCTGAACACCTTATTTAGATTTAGACACTGTGTATTATCAACTCAGGTAACAAAAGAAGGCTCAGATCCCTGACTGACCCTCTGTTCAGGCAGAGAGAGGTACCCAACGGCAAAAGCCCAAACCTTTCTTTAAACTTAGTTGGTGGACTTTGATAAGTTAGAAAAGATTTACCCCAATAGGTAATTTGGCAATCAGAAATTCTTTGGAATAATATTTACTTTTTATTTTACATATTTACTTTTCCTCTTTCTTTGATGCCTGTTCTGTTTTCCTTTTATATCCAGTCACCATTTGAATATATTTCTTACCTATCACACAATAGCATTTGGACTTGCCATGTAATCTGACATACCTATATTGCATTGCTCTGTGTTTAGTCACTGAATTTGCATTGTTAAATTGCAATACAAAAATCTTGTTATCAGATACTATAAAGCCTTATTTCTTTGGAACAGATTCCTTAGAAACTGTGGTTCTACCCCTGGCTGAATTTCAAATTTGTTGTTGAGTTTTGCCTATGCAGTGGAAACAGTCTGTGCAGAAAACACCAAAATGTTGGTGGAAGCCCCGAAGTTTCGAGGCAAAAATCAAAGTATTTTGACTGAAAATTCTGTGCCATTCACCACACAAAGATGACAAGATAACAGATTGTCTTCTGCAAGACTGACTCACCACAGAGAAGTTCATTCCCAGTTTAGGTACAGTGATCACCATCTGAGGAAAGCACACTGAGTTCAAGTTGATTCCCTGAGCTGTGATTGTACTTCCACCACTAGGAAAAATTAGAAAAAAAAAAAAGAAAAAGCAGATGAGTAGGATAATGATACATCTGCTATGATAATCTTAATTACAAATTATATTTTAGAGTAAATGACAACATAAAACCAGAATTAGGGATATATGGGGTGAATGCAAATACATAGCTCTGAGCAGTGAGATTATTTTTCTGGGAAACAAATTTTACACTTGCTATAACAACTAATCAAATACAAGAAAAGAAAAACAATTTTTAAAATTGTAGTATGCCAGGATATAAAACAAATGTGTACATTTTAAAGGAAGGTGTATATTTGTTCTTAGCATTTGCTAACTTACTTATTGCTTTCAGTGGTGCTGAAAAAGGTGCCTTTTTTACTGCTGACATTTTTTTGGCAAAGGCAGATGGCTTGGATTAGAGCTACTGAGACCATAAATATGTCACTTAAAAACACACACATACTACCATACATATATATTCATAATATTTATGTAGCGCTGGATTTAGACTATTTTAAAATCCATTTGCTCTCCTGAGTACCACTGACTTGTCACATTAAATGATTTTCCTCACTAATCAGCGTAATGTCCAGGCGCAGTATAGGAGACACACTTAGCTGTACAGCAGGTATCTCAGCAGGACATCACAGGTTCGCTCAGCAGCAGCCAGGAGTTAAATCACATAAAGAAAAGAGGCACCCTTCCCTCTTCTCCTTCACCTCTGGAAGGAAATGATCTGCCCTCTGCAACTGCACCATAATAGGAGCAATTGGCATGGCAGATAGAGATAAAAATGCAATTTCTTTTGATAGATTGCTGCGTGGCGTAGCCGTTCTTCTTTCGTTCATTACTTTTCTTATTTCTGCAAGAAACTTTTACTCACCTAAGAAAAGATTTGGCCGGATGAATTTTTAAAACAACGGGGTCTTCTCTGTACGTGAAATGACCGCTTGCGTCTCGAATAGCTTCGTCGATTCCCACCCTCACACGATACTCCTGGGGAATTCGTTGTGCTGGAGTGTAGCACTCCGCAGTGCTCACCGATATGCTGGAAGGACAGAAAAAGGCTTGCTTGTCAGCATTATAAAACATGTACTCGGTTTGAAACACTGTCCTTTAGTGAGCCCCACTAAGGATCCGCTTGTAAAAAATCTGTCATTGCTTCCCACACTGGGTGGTCATATTCCAACAAATAAGCACGGCATGAGGTAGAAACAGCAACACCACTGCTTAGGCTCAAGATTCATCTTAATTCGGTTGAGTTGCCACCTTGCCTGCTGGAAGGTGTTTCCCCAGTGCTGGCAGCAGCCACGTCAGCCCCAGCACCCTGCAAAGGCAGCTTCCAGCCTGGAAAACGACAGCACGTTCCAGGTTTAAGGGGAATGACTTGTTCTGCTGTAACCAAGGGATAGCATCTTTCTCTCTCCAATCCACAGGATTCACCCTGTGTTAAAAACGTGAAGAAAAGGTGCTGGTGGGGGATGTACGAGCATGTCAGAGATGCCCTGCCCTGGGGGCACCTCCTGACTCCAGGCACTGCTGAGGGGCAGGCAGAGGGCAAAGAGAAGGGAGGAGAAGGTGAAAATTGAGGAAGAGCTGGCCCCATTCAGCACAGCAGCAGATTCTCTGGGATATTCACCTTTCCCTTGCTTTCTCATGCTTGGCCCTGGAAGTCCTCCTTCTGCACTGAGCTCAGTGGGTGAGCGGGCAGCGGAGGGGTGAAGGATCCTGAAGCTTGAAGTGTGGCTGCAGGGAGCAGAGCACATCAGAGGCAAGGGTAACAACTGACTGGAGAAGCAAATGTAACTCTACCAGCTGTTTTCAGTGATTTGGACCCAATCACATCCAGGAGCCCTCCAAGTGAGGCCATTCTCAAAGGATGTGAGAGATTGTCTCCAAATTAGACAAAAAGGGCATTTGCTGCCACTTCTGAAGCTTTCCAGGAAGGTGGGGTTCACCGTGTGCTGTAGGGGTTAATGATTCGTTCATATGTATCTGGAAGCTTTTTACCATCTTTTAAAGGAAACAATAAACTCTTGATCTAGCTGCCCTCAGAACTGGGGGAAGCTGCCAGTTCAGATAAATACCTGCCCTGAGAAACTGGCTAAGACCTGTGCAGAAGTCTCCAGACAGCTCGGCTGGTGAGAAAGAGGGGTGCTGGAGATGCTTACTGGATGAGCCCCAGCTACGGTTTGATACCTAGAGGTCCACCTGACCAAAGCAGATGTCTGCCTCTGAGCTGGCTGTCATCTCACTGCCACAGTAGGTGTCTCAAATGGATCAGATGAATCATTCCCAAAAGGTTTATTTACTTGTCCATTAGTTGACCAGCTGAGATGATGACATCAATAAATGCCACCCTAAACTATTAAGTAGCCACTGAACAGAAGTGCTGAAGATCTTGGTAGTGATTAAATATCAGACTTGAATACCTAAATCCCTTTCTTGATTTAGTCAGACTTAGCTGATTTGATCAAGAGCATACAATAAATCGTTTAGCAGCAAAGAATAAAATTCAGCTCTCCTCACTTTGAGTCTGATGTTAACTAATAGGCTATTGCATCCCCGTGTTCTCCGCAAGTGTGATGTTTCACCACTATGACTTTACATAATCATTAGGAGAGACTCAAAATTTAGAGGAATTGATGGACATCCTGTTTCTGGACCACAGTGGGACAGATTCTGCCTGGGGCCACAGAGGTGACAATTCTGGAGCCACCCTGCTGTACCTGAAAACAGGACCAAGCAGGATTTGCGCCGTGGTAGAAAGGCTACCAAAGTCAGAACACTTGTCTGCCCATAGCAAAGAATTTGTGCTTGGTATTTAGCATTTATATTCAGCTGGGATTGAGGGCATTTCCACACAGAGCTTGTCAAAGATTCTTGACTGAGCTCCTACTGGATCCAGTACAGAGCCACAAGAAATTCTGGCTTAATCCTCAAAACAAGTTTATATACACCAGGAAAAGTCCCAAAATGATGCCGCCTCAGGTTTGGAGGCTGTTCACTGATAGTAGAAATAGCTGCTCCTCTGCGCAGGATACACATTCCCACACTGCTCCTGTTTCCACCGAACAAACCAGTAGGAAATGGTAACCCACACCCACTGGACACGCACTGGGAGCTGCTGCGTGAACAGCAGCTCTTGCTAATGCAAGAGAGCAGGCTATAATGTGTGTCTATATTGTGTGGGAGTCGGGGTGACAAAAATGATGGGAAATGGGCAGTTTCCAGTCCATTAGAAGCTGATTTGCTACTCCTCTGTGCAACCTTTTAATGAGGTTAATGAAGGCATTACAGAATAAACAAGTCTTCTAGGAAACCGTAGTTCCTTCTAGGAACCTTTCAGACATCCTAAACTCAGGATGTAATCCAGAACTGAATGCTCATTGAAGCATCAATTCTCCGATATGTAACACAGGGAGAGGAGAGCAACACGTTTGTGGTTTTTTTTACTCCCAAACATTTCAATCAAGCCATTTCAATATTCAAGGCATCACTTTTTAGTAAGTACATTACCTTTTCAAGGTGCATGGTTTCTCACCAATAAAAATCCTTCTGGATTTTCCACTGTTTAGGTATTTTCCCGCTACAGTTAGCAATGTTCCTCCAGATTTGGGGCCATAAGTGGGAGAGATACTTGTTATTACAGGATTCTGAGGGGGGGTAAAAATAAGAACAGTGGATTGTTAAATTATTTTCAAAATGTGAGAGGAAGAATTTTAAAACATTTATTAGCATTTCCATGAAGTAATAATAAAGCAAACAGGAATATAGAATTATCATACTGGATTGGACTCATGAGGAATCTCCTTCCAGTTAATATTGAAGCTAATTTTGACAATAAAGTTTTAATCATAGTGCTTACCACGTATGAAAATGTATTGAACAGTGTTTTGCCATGTCCAACAGAAACACTACTGGATATATTAAAACTTGGATTTTTTGCAGCAGGAACCGTGCATTCCAGCCTTTGGAAAACAAGGAAAAAGATGTGATTACATTTTTTTTCTGGCTTGATCTTTTGTACTAAAATTGAATCACTTCAAACTCATAATAATGGAGGATCCATACTAAACAAATCATCAATCTGTGAGAGTCAGGGGCATTTCAGAAATAACAGCTAAAAGAACTGTAGTCATCTTCTTTAATACTAAATACAAACAGTGTGGTGTTTATACTGGGCCAGAGAAAATAATATTAGTATATCCAATAAATTTCAGAAAAAAAGCAGTATGCTAGAGAAAACAAATACCTCCCATTCAATGGCTGAGTTGTTTTTTGGAATTTTCCTTTAGTGCCAAATTTTGGCAGACAACAGAATTAGAAAAAATGCATCATATACACAAGTTCGTTGTATAAATTTAAATATTACCAGAAATTAAACTTGAACTTTTGTGGCAGCGTGTGTCAATGTATTATATTGCATTTATACAGTCTCATACATGAGCTAGTCTCCTTAAATCATTTTGTTTGCATTAACACTGTTCAGAATAGCAGTTAGGAGAGTGCTCAGTATTTCTGGAGGGTGATCTTTTTGCTGCTATCTATATGAATGGGGAAGCCGTGCCATGATTTGCACTTTGCTTTGGCGGTAGATAGTCATATGCTTTGAACTGAGAGAGGATATTCATTGAACTTCCTATTTCTTCAAGATAACAACCAGAATAACCTCTGCCTTAAACTTAAGCCATTATCCCACTGCCTCAAATACTTATTTCTGAGGAGGAGGAGGAGAGGTGCAGCCGAGGGTCGTAGCCCTCTGGATGACGAAATACCTGCATCTTCTCACATTTCTCGCCAGCAGCTTCACAGATCAGGAAGACGGAGGTGACATAACTGAGCCCAGCAGGATCCTGGCCAAAGGAACCTGCCCCCTTTTCAAACCTTTGAATAGTTTCATTCTTGCTAGCTCCCGCAGATGTTGAACAGCATTTCGCAGACAAACCAGAAAAAGCTGCTGCAGGAGCTATCGGCATTAACTAGATTTATTTGATCTCCATTTCGAGCACTTTTTTCTTGGGGAGCTTATCACCAAGGGATTGTTTCCTGTCTGAAATTTCAGAATCGGAGATGACACTTATAGACTGAATGTTTATATCGTAAAAAAATCCATGCCACATAAAGAACATCTGTATAAAAGGAAGTTCATATTTTAGGTTTCTTACTTGTTTTTGTTGCTTGATTTTGCTTCCAGAGCACAAATTTGTCCTCCAATATGGACTACTGTATTTTTAAATTCAAATCTATTATTTTTGCTGAATCCAAAGTCCCATCCACACAGCGTCAGTTTTGTCCCGCCTTCTAAGGGAGCACTGCTTGGGAGAATCTGTTAAAAAAAATATTGTGTTAATTACATCAGGTTTTCTTGAACTTCAAATGGAGTTAAAGAATGTGCAAAGGAATAATTCTAGAAAAGCATTTCTTCTGGTAGACTATGTCCTACCATTCATCTTAATTGTTCTTCACCTTTCATTTGTCACATTATGAGCTTTCTCTGACAGTAGCAATAAATAACAAAACCTATACTAGAAAGCTTTGAAGGATAGTGTTTAGGGGCACTGAACAAGCTGTGCATTGTAATAGTCTTTTAAATCCTGCCATTCTTGTCTTTCACATCTTATTTCTGGCATGTTAAACATACAATGTACTTATTTTGTTAGAAGCTGAATGCTGAACACAAAAGAGCCCCAAAATGACCATTTTTTGTCAGCTTGATGAAAGTCAGGTACAGAGTGAAGTAGCTTCAAAGACACCAAAATCCGGTATTGCAGTGGCTGTGATAAAGTTAACGTGACTTCTGCTATTCTTTCCTTAAATCTTTTACATTTGGTCACCTCTAATTCTGAGTTAAAAATAAACTACCCCTCAGAAACAGAGAGACAATCTACAAAGGAAATGCTTTTTTTTTCTGTATATTGTAAATTGTCCTGTAAAATATAACAATGGTGGGAAAAATGTAGGAACACTATAGAAGTCTTACAAAACTCAGTAAAAGTACTGGTCAGTACTGCCAGTAAAAAAAAAAAAAAAAAAAAAAAAAAAAAAAGACATTGGTTCAGGGTTTATGGGGACTTTTAACAATACTGCATAATTCTGCAAACATACCAGTACCACTGGACAAACAGAGAATGAAAGACCAAATATACTTGTGGTCATAGTGCCTAAATGTCTTAGACTTAATGCTTTAGTGATAGTAATTTTGCCCCTAAAATGCAATACAGCTGTGCCTTTCAAAGGACCCGACTTCATTTTCAAGCTGAAAGGAAAGTGTTTGAGAGATACTTGGCTATTATTTCATCTGGAAATGCAGTAAGACAGCACATTTCTTTTCAACTCTCTTGTAGCTGTACTTCAAGACTCTCACAAATGAACTATTGTAGATAGAAAGGCAGCTGAAGAATACTTCAAAAGAATTATACCATATTTTCTATATGGGGAAATTTACTGCCTCCATTAGAAACCAGACAAAGAGTCTGCTCTAAAACGCACTGAAGCCAGTAGGAATCTTTCCGATTTTAATGAGCTTTGAATCAGCTCTCAATGAGCAAAGAAGAGGGAACCTATGCAGGAACAGTACTTTTGCACAAATCCCATAAAAAGGGAGCGAAGTTTGCACAGCCCCCTGACACACAACACTGCAGCTAAGAGCATGGAGCAGCACTGTGTCCCGTGGACTCTGTGCTATTCCCAAGTTTAACTTTCCCTTATTTCTTTGTTATTTTTTCTTTGAAATCTGGATTGACTTCAGATCCTAGTTTTCCACTCTACTTAGTGTCTTAGCACACTATCTATTTTTGGAGTAACAAAACCCTAGCAGAGACTGAAATTGCTCTGTGGGGGTACAGGATGTCTTGATGTTTTGTACAATAATGCATTGACGTGTGGCATTTGAAGAGTTTGAGATGTAATCCATAAGTTAGCAAAATAAAGGCATTAAAATCAGGCTTCACAAAGCCATACAGAATAAAAACTGAAGGCACTTAACTGGTTTTGGGTGATCTTATCTACCAAAAGGGACTTGTGATGGCAGCCCATGCGCCTTAACTGATGGAGAGTAGAAGTACTTACTGCATTCTGCCAGCAAATTTAGGAAGCAAGATCTCTAAGTAGATAGCAAAAAATAAACCAAATCTTAAACTTTTGTATTTAAGTTCTGCAGAAATTCCCCTGGAGTGTTTTTATTCACGTCTCTATTTTTGCTCCATCTGTTCTGTACGATGAAACCTCTGAAAGTCAAATGTGGTTTCCCAGACTTGTTCTTGGGAGAGTTGACAGGAATAAACAGTGGACCTCCTGGACTTTGAACTGAGGTATATATAGGCATCGTCTGTGTGCTTACATCACGCAGATAGTAACAGAAAGTAAGCAAAACCCAAATCAGTTATAAATGCTATGAAATTCAGGATTCAAAAGTTCTGTATAGCAAGGAAACTCCACTGATAACATGGAGCATGTCTTGCTGCAAGGCCTGCCGTTCTGCTTGTCCCTGCTGCTCTCTGGACTTTGGGTTAAAGGAGAGAAAGTTAACTTTTCTTTTTTTGAAACATTTAAAGCATTGTGTTTTCCTTTTGTTTATGTTGACAGCCATTATGCTAATATCCATTCACATACTTTATAAATTTTTGGAAGAAAGTATCTTTTTATTAAAGTTGCAATGGCCCATTCCTTTTAATTACGAGGCAAGAACATGTACAGGCCACATGTGAAATTTCCAGCAAAACCTCTATCCTAAACAGGCAGCAGAAGGGCTGATGTTCTTCATGCATCTGAGACAAAAGCCAGCTAAAATGACTCACTTTAAAAACAACAACAAACCATGTCAGGTTGTTCACCACAACAAAGAATCAAAAGGGAGAGCAATTTATTTCTTCTTTTACGCCAGTCACCTTTCAGCCTGACCCGAACGCCGCACGCAGATGCCTGCAATTTGTTCCAGCACGAAGCCATCTCCCAGGAGCCTCCCTCGAGTCCCCCGGCTCTCCTCCAGCACCGCGTGTCCCGGCTGACAAAACACGCCCCGCTGCTGGCCCAGGCGGTGGATGGCAGTGGGGTAGGGTGCTGGGGTGCGGGCTGGCAGCCGGGCCGTGGCGGGGGCGTGTGCCGGTGCCAGCCCTGCTGCACTCCCTGTAATTTGGGGGATGCCTGGGCAGTGCTGGAGCCACCCGCGTCTCCAATGGAAAGTGCTTAAAGCAGGGCAGGGAGGCGAAGGATCTGCAGGACTCCATGGGAAAACGCTATGTTTCTTCTCTGCCATCCCTCATGAGGGCAAAATCTCTTTTTTTTTTTTTTTTCCCCCCATTGTGCACCACTGTGTAATAACCTCAGAAAACTTTGTTGAGGACTTAGCTAACACCCATTGGACCAAACCCTCAGAGAAGCTCTGTGTTCCCTCAGGTTAAAGCGATCGTATGACATATCTCGAGCAATCTCTCCCTCCGAAAGCTGCAAAATATTAGGGGGGGGTTTGGACTGAATTTCAGATACTATGCAAAGAAGGTCATCCTCTGTTTGTTAGGAACAAAACAAGATTGTTTCTCATATTTTATGCATATGGGTTTAAAGACAGATCAGAAGATGATGAATAATCTGTTTTATATTTTTTTCAGTAATAATGTTAAATGTCATGGTCCAGTAGAGCATGAAATCTGTCTTAACAGCTAGCAATCCAAAGGGATTTAAGTACTCAGCTGCATTTTTTTTCCTTACAAGCCTTCTAGAAGCAACTTCTACCAATGTGGGCACGCTGTAATTCGAGATTCACTTTAAGATCCATCAGTGCCACAGATCCATATTCATTACAGGGGCAGACTGGGCTTGTGCTGAGCAGGCAGGGCTGAGCCACGTGGGGAAGGGGAGCACCCGGCCGGCCCCATGCCTGCTCCCACCGCCCCACATCCAAGGCGCGCTGCCCTGGGTGAGTCCTCCCGCAACTTCGCGGGGACTGCAGAGGTGGCTTTGGGGATGCACCTCTCATCCTAAGCATCTCTGCATGGGCTCCGGGTGCTTGCTGCTTAAACTGCTGAGCACACACACACTTGAAATTAAAGAGGGCTATATGAGCTCAGCACCTCTGAAAATCTGAAACTAAGCAGTTCAGAGCCTTAGAAAGCTTTTTGGAGGTGTGACAGCATACAGCCACTGCTGGAAAGTTTTGCCAAGAAAAAATACTAAGGGATGCTACTTGTGCTTGAGCTCTAGGAAAGACAAAACAAGCTGTGCAGTAGAGGTGTGAGTGGCTTGGTCCTGCAGAGGTATATGAAAATGTATCAGGACTAATTTTCAGTGTATCCCTTTGAATTGGTGATTCATAGTCTCATACAAACTAGGGCCAGAAAGGACTATTTGATCATCTAATACAGCCTTTTTGAAATAAATATATTCTTGTCTAAAGGGAAAGTAAACTATTCACATTCTGCGTTAGCAGTTTTTTTACATCTCCTTTGCCCAAAGGTAAATGGCAAAAGAAGGCAAGGCAAACACACGCCCACCCCCCTTTTCATCCATTTTGGGTTTGATTCCCATAACGTGCCATTGTTGGTTCATTGAATTTTGCCTGTGTTCGTCCTAAATTTTGTATCTGAAAGGTGAACATGGAAAAGAAAAAAAAAAAACCCTGTAAACATGTGTTTGTAGATTTGTTTCTAGATAATTAGCAGTTTTGCCTGTCTATTCTTTAAAAAGTTGTTGGACAGGAAATCATCTGCCTGGTTGAAAGAAATACATTATTTATTTAAAAAACCCTTTTGTCTCCCTTTCTCTCTGAGAGTTTAGCATGTCAACTTTTCATCTCCATTTATAAGCTGTATGCCCGTAAAGGAAAATGTATTTGTAACTACACGGTGCAGTTTAAATGCACTAAAAAAAGTAAACGGGTATAAGAGCTACCAGAAAGTTTTATGCTTGTCCTTCCCTCAGTTTTCTAGTCCGCTAACTGCCCTGTAAACCTCCGCCTTCGCAACTAAGTCAGCCGGGATGATTCGGTTACATGTGCAGCCGGCCGGTACGAATCCTGCGTTGACCATAGCTAAATTAAAACAGGAACGCGCCAGTGCCGCTGTCCCCTCGTCCGTGTGGTTTCGTTCCCGCACACCCTTGATGGGCTTTGGCCGGCTGGCAGCAGCCTCCGGCTCTCCCCATCCCAGGGAGGGGTGCAGCTACAGGCTCGCCCCCCTCGGTGGCGAGCGGACCCACGGGAACGAGGTGCCAGGGAGGGACCTTGGGAAAAATCCATCTCCCCCAGGGTGGTGTTTTGGTTGACAGCTCTGTCGCAGAGCTTAGGTAAGGGAGAGAGGGACTTGTCCCCACAGGGAAACACCACCCTCTCCGCCAACGCTGGAGCCGGAATGGGGACAGATGAGGAGCGGGGGCTGGAGCCCTTCCGCGTTGGGTCAGGCTGTGGCAGCTGTGGGTGGGAAGCGCTTTCCTCCACCTCCTCCCTTTGAGAGGGGTCTGAGAGGAAGGGCGCTCCTTTTTGTGACTGGCCTTTCCCGTCAGAGCCCTGCCAGGCTGGCTCAGACCCATGTCGTTTCCCCGCCACGCGTGCTTTGCAGGGCTGAGGCTCTCCCGTGGCAAGCCAGGATGATGTGACAGACCCATCCGTGAGCACCCGAACCCGCCGCATTCAGGAAGAGTCCGTGCGTCCGGCCGGAGCCTTTATGGACACTGAGGCCGCGGAGAAGGCGAGGAGAGCAGACACTTCATTTATCATAATCGCGTAAAAACAAACAGAAAATGTCCGCGGAGCGCAGACCGCGTTCTTCCCTCAGAGATAAGTATGAGAAATCCAGCGGTTTACCTCATAAACCCTAGGCAAGCAGGTCTCCTGGGTCCAGGTGCCGCCAGGGCACTCGGGAGACCGGAGGCACTGCTGGCTGCACCAGCCACACTGCATGAAGGCAGGTGCCAGCAGGCACTGGCTGCAGGACCTGAAGTGGTGGCAGCCCGGCCCCTTCAGCGGGATCTTCGATATCTGTCGATGGAAAGACATGATGCACAGATCCTTTTAATACGTACACTAAGCGGCAAGGAGAGTCTCTATTTATGCAACACGCTGTGGTGCTGCTCAGATTTCAGATGTGCAAGCTGCGGTTCGACTTCTCTTTAGCTCAGTAATTATAGGATCTTATAAGTAATTTAATTGACATGATTTTAAATTCGCTTGGGAGAAACCCTAAAGGCATCTCAATGTTATATACAGTTACTACCAGCATCTGGTGTTTACAGCAAGATAGCATTTTTTGCTGATGGAAAAAGAAAACAGCAGTGTGCTCTTACCAATTGTGCGCTAGTTCTTGGAAAAAACAGTGTGTCTCAGTATGTCTTAGTTCATTCATTTGTAAAAATAGGCACGATGGCTATTTCAGCTTTGGCAAGGCTGTATTAATATCTGCGACACACAGCACGTGACTGCCCAGGTACTTGTTTTTTAAGACCTACCACCGAAAAATCTACGCTATACCTAAAACATGAATTCAAATTTATATTATTTAAAATATCAGGATAGTTATGATAATAGTCACTCTAAATATATAAGTACTATTTTCAGTCAAAATTTTAAAATGAGTATATAATTACATTACTTACCTTCCTTAAAATTATTTTGGACATTTTCTTGAAGATTGCTCTTATAAATATCTCATACATTTCTAGTAAATGATTAATAACCATCTTTACTAATGGCTGATGTATTTCTGTGAATTCTTATAGAACTCAAGGGGTCAAATTATTGCTTACGATTACGGTTTAGGATTATCTGTAATGTTATCTGCTGATGTTTTAAATCCATTCTACAATGCATATCTACTTATGACAATAGCATATTTATGACAGCTCTTCATCTTTTATTAACTCTTTGCAGACTATATGTGAAAGCAATCTTGAAACCTTACTATGAACACTGACTCCCAATTTTAAACACACCCATGTAACTCTTGCACACACACCCCTCCTTAAAAAGTTATAACATTATGACACAAACCAACAAAAGCCAGGAAACTCTGAGCACCATTCTTTCCTCAAGCCATTGTGTGTTTTTTCTTTGCAAGCACTTGAATTAAGGACAGGGTTTCAGCCTTAAAATTTGCATTTCCTGGCTTTTGTTGGTTTATATCACAGCTCTTACACTATTTAAACATTTCTCAATATTAGGTTGTCAGTTTGTTAAGTAGGGAAAAAAAAAATCTTGGAGGAAACTTGCCCCTCCAATGTTCCCAAGGGAATGGCAAGGCTGGGAGGATGCAGAGCATAAAGCAGCAGTGTGAATAGTTGCTCTTACTGAAAGTTGCTGCTCTGACAGCAGGTTTATACAGTGCACAGAAGGATTAGATTATGAACCACTCACCTTTTTCCCAGTCACTACCAGGGTATAGCCATCATCTGCTAATGAATTCTCGACAACAACTTGGGGAGAGACGGGGTGGGAGTCTAGCTGAAAGCTGACATGTGGAGCTGTGGGTTCTGAGCGGGAAACCACTATCTAAGAAAGAAAGAAATTGGGAAAATCAGCAGGCAGCATGTGACACAAATGCACGCTGCTCAGCAGTCTCACGTTCCTACCACTTCTCTGCTTACATTAATTACTGTGCATTACATTGCATAATATTTTGCATAATGTTCCATCATGATCTGATTAAAGAGCTATAAAATCTACTTTATTTAACATAGCAAAATCATGGCTGTTGGAGTATCCTCAAAATACATCGTATTTATTAAAATATGAAGGAGTCATTGCATGTTTTCTAGTTCTTTAATTTCAGGTATTTTTAAATCAGCCATAAAAAATGAAGATGGGTCATTTAGCGCTGTGCATTTAAGAAGAATTTTATCTACAATGTCTATTTAAAATAATCTTAAAACTCCAAGCCTTCAAAAGTCAAAGCTATTTCCATTTATTTTCACTTTGGTCCTTCAGTTTGAAAAATAAACTTTACCCTGGGTCAATAGTATCTGGTCTTGATGCATGTGGGGCCATTAGAGCGCAAAGCCATGGCAGGTGCAGGTTGCGCCGTGAGCAGCTCTACAGAGCTACAGGTACATGGACCTCGATTCCCAGAGCTGGCAAGGTGGCTATTGCTACAGGCAGGCTCTTTGCAAGACGTGGCTGGGCACCTCGAGATCTGTCTCCTGCTGATTTCTGCGGGAGCTGGGTGTCCAGAACAGAGCACTCAAAGCACCTCTTAAATGACAGGGAGAGCTGGAGGCTTCTCTGGAAGGTGTTCCAAAACAGGAGCCTAATTTGGTTGTCCTGAAGCCCCTTTGCAAGAGCCCTCTCTCTCTCTCTCTCTCTCTTGATTTTAGGAGATCTTAGGGAGATTAGTCACACTAGTATGAAATTCCCCCACTAGTCATCTCTCTGCATCTTGAGTTACCTAAATACTTCTGAGAATTTGGGCCTATTCCTGCAAACACACGCTTAACTTTACTACTGTAACTTTGTTGACTTTAATGGGATGAGTCATGGCTGTTAAGCACAGGCATAAAGTATCTGCAGATTGGGGTGGATATTCGATAGCAAGATTTTATAGGCTTGGGTCTGCAATCCCGAAGGATGTGCGTCCAAATGTGATAGCATCAGGCAACAAAGGCAGAGGATTGTTTACATGAGGGAAGATCATGTTCATGTTTCAAAAGCTGCGTCACGTGTAGTTTACTTAAGGAATTTAGATAATCAATATTTGCTGAGAAGTTGAGATTCAATGGGGTTCATTATTTAAAAAGATTGAAGCCATTCTGGAAAGAACTTGTATGTCAAACATTTAATTTTTCACCGTAATGTAGCTTTTCTTCTGACTCCAAAGGCAGCATCAGAACAGCTAGGACATTGACTTACACGATTTCACTGGCTTTTCGCACTGCCAAGGTCTTTCAACAAGATGGCTGAATCCAAAACTAGACTTAGAGATGCTGTAATTACAGCTGATGTTTTGTTGTAATTCAAGACGTAAATAAAATATATGAGCAGTTAATTCATGGTGATAAGTGCTTCACATCCCAGAGGTATTTACAGTTTGGGGTTACAAGAGGCTTTTTTTCTTTAAAATGAAACTGGCTTTGTTAAAGACTTTGCTATGGGTTTGTTTCACAGTACAGAAAGTGCAGCTTTCAGAAATCAATAAGGTCTGATCATTTTCGGTGACACAGAAGTATGGTCTCTGACTCGGTGTATTAGGGCATGAGCTCTGTTTTTATATTCAGGACAATGAAAAATAGAATGGACTGCAAAGCTGCATGAAAAAGCTTGATTAATGTTGGCATTATGGGGAGAGGTAGCACCACAGCTGCAAATACCTTTTTAGTTGATCATTAGCCGTGTCTCATCTCGAATACCCACTGCTATAAAATGCTAAGAATTCTTTTCTATCATTAATCCAGGCTTCCTCTTATTGCCAAGCATTCTTTTTGATTGAGCCACAGTGTTAACCCTTTAAACACATCTGTGTTGCAACCTCAGAGCAATACATGAAAATTTGGATCCCACCTCTACAATCTTGGAAAAATTATTCAGTACTTTAAACACTGACTGACCTTTATTTTACTGAGGCTGATAGTCAAATCACCTGCTCAAAGCCCCAGTGAATAGACTTTGACCTCATGACATACAGGGAGCTCACATTACACTTCCTAACTCATTTGGGACTATGGAATAGAAGTTCGGATTTTGCTTAGAACTAATCTACCAGCCTACAGTGTTGCCGTAACAGATACTAGATGCAAAAATGCTCTTTCTGGTCTGTATAACTGTGCGGTTTTTGCACGCATCAGCCCAGTCCTTGAAATTCTATCTTACCCTTATCCAACATAATCCTGAAGAAAAAGGCAATTTGAAGATAGCTTCTACAGCACGAAGAAGAGGCTACTTAGGACGCCAGTGTTGTTCTCAGAAACCTCTGATTTTTATTGCTTGGGACTGGGATGGTATGCTTACAGTGTGGCTTTAATCTACCGTGGACACATTGCCATACAGGGGCTACTTCTGCCATGGAAATGGTTCAATACTACAGAAGGATTTATCTTGACAAAGACTCTAAAGTGCTGGGTTTTTTTTTTTTTTTTTTTCTTGAGGGGCGGTGGTGGGTTGGGGCATTTTTACATTTTAATAATTCATTTAATAACCAAGCATTTCTCCAGAGTGTAAGAAAGAGAAATGAAGGCATATTTATGTGCCTGCACTAAAGCAGTTAGGAGAGAGGGAATGGAGAGGGAATGTCTTGCACAGATAAATAATTGACTAAAAGAGAACAAACAGATGTTAGCAGTAAGTGGTCAGTCCTTGCAATAGTGAGAAGTCACCAGAGGTGTTCTGCAGGGTGTCTGTGCTGGGATCCATACTGTTCAACATACTCATAAATGAGTTGGAGAAGTGGTTGAGCAGTCCAGTGACAAAGTTTTTTGATGATCTGAAGGTATTCAAGGTGCTAAGGATGAGGACAGACTATGAAGGATGGCAGAAGGACTTTACAAGACAGCATGTCAAGGCTATAAAATGGCAGGTGAAGTACAACAAAGAAGATTAATTTAAAGCAGTATACGACAGATAGTTCCATCAAAACATCATCTGACTGCTCAGCAGCAGGCAAAAAACCAAATAAAAACTTAGGAATTATTAGAAAAAGATTAGAGAACAAATCAGAAAACATCCTGTCATATAAATTCATGGCTTGCCCGAACCTTGAATTCTTTGTGTAGTTCTGGTTGCCTCATGACAAAAAGAGTATGTTAAAATGTGAAAAGGTTCAGAGAAGGGTAACAAAGATGATCAAAAGGCTGTAATCAACAATGAGTAGGGTAGGTGTGGAAATGCTATGAAAAAGCCGTACAGAATCATGAGTGGGTAGAGACTGACTATTTACTCTCTTCTAATAAAAGTACTAAACACCATCAAAAGACCAAAGTGAGAGTCAGGTTCAAAGCAAACAAAAGAGCAAGGCTTCCTAGCAATATGTGATGACCTATGGGACTCCTTGCCGAAGGATGTGAATGCAAGAGGAATAGACATTCAAAGGGAAACTCCACATGTGCATGGAAAGAGCTAAACAGACAAAACCCAATAGCTCAGGAAATCCCCAGAATGGAAAATAGTTGGAGGCTTGAAGCAGAAGGTATTACGTATGTTGCCTGGGCCCCTAGGCATCCACTTGTCACCACTGCAGGAGACAGAGCACTGAGCTAGATGGACCCTTCGTTTAAACCCATGTGGCTCTTCTGATATTCTTACAAATAACCCTTCCGAGAATCACATTCATTATCACTAACTACAACCCCAGACATCCTTCTCAAAGCAAACACAATACTTATGTCCCTCTATTTAAGAGAAAAACAAAATAGTATGTGGTGTTTCAGCATAGCTCAAAGTACTTCCATGAAGAAAACAGCCAACAGTTAATTAATTAATGAATATATTAATTAATATATCCTTTATACCAGAAGTCAGTGATCCCTTAGGTCCATGAACATTAAAATAATTCATTTAAATATTCTTTCATTGCCATCAGCTAGTATTAATGTTAAGTAAGAAGACTTGACTCTAGGTTTGTTTATGCGTAATATGGCAAATTAAGACTATAATAACTTGAGTTGAGAAACAGTATGCAACAGCTTCTTTTAAAAATAATTCTGATGCTCAGTTCTGCTAGTCAGCAGGATTGAATTACAAATGTTACTGTCTGCATGTTGAAATATCTTCTGCAAAAATGAGAGGCCTTCTAAAAGCAATCCCATCTAAGTATCATATTGTTATTTTTTCCCTAGATGTCTGGCAGGTGTAGGCCATTACCCAGCAGAGATAGGCTCAGGGTTAACTTTATTGTGTAACGCCTCACATGCCCTGGGATATGCAGCGTAGCCTTGCAAAGGGCACATATGTAGCTCTCTAAACGCTGTATATCATTCTAATCCATGGAGAGTATAATGGATCTCCTCTGAAGGGTGGAAACTCTTCTCCTCAAACTTTAAACTTTATTAAAACATGTGCGCTCTCAAACCAGTTATTTGGCACCAGGTGTTAATTTTAATTGGACTATATGGATTTTGCATTATGCAATATTTGATATTTTTTCTGGGAGCATCAAGATACATTCTTTACCACAGAAAGAACTGCTATTAGCAAACTGTTAAAAGTTGAGCTATAGATATGAAAATGTTGCTTATCTAGAGTTTGCCACAGTTTTCTGTTGGTTTAACAATGATAAAGTGGGAAAGATTGCAACTATGGGCATTCCTACAAATGCATGTGTGCATTGTTTGCATTTAGCTTTAAATAGGTCAGACTGCCAGTATCGAAAAGCCAGGTGAATTGCTCAACCACAGAGGCGGGACAGCAGTGGACACTGAGGACAGCCTTTGCAATGACGCCATGGGCACCCCATCACTCCTCCTCCTGCCTCTGTAAGGTTTAAGGTCGGTGCTCATGTATTTCTTGACCTCCTCGCGCTTGCTTCCAACATAGCTTTTATTATGACTATATTTGTCCAGCGGGAC